CATTAGTTCCCCAGTAACTACTCATTTGTTCCTCATTAGTTCCCCAGTAACTACTCATTCGTTCCTCATTAGTTCCTCATTAGTTCCTCAGTAACTACTCTAATTTTGTGTACCTTAGTTCCTCAGTAACTACTCATTAGTTCCTCAGTAATTACTCTAATTTTGTGTACCTTAGTTCCTCAGTAACTACTCATTTGTTCCTCATTAGTTCCTCATTCGTTCTTCATTAGTTCCTCATTAGTTCCCCAGTAACTACTCATTCGTTCCTCATTAGTTCCTCATTAGTTCCCCAGTAACTACTCATTCGTTCCTCATTAGTTCCCCAGTAACTACTCATTTGTTCCTCATTAGTTTCCCAGTAACTACTCATTCGTTCCTCATTAGTTCCTCATTCGTTCCTCATTAGTTCCTCAGTAACTACTCTAATTTTGTGTACCTTAGTTCCTCAGTAACTACTCATTAGTTCCTCAGTAATTACTCTAATTTTGTGTACCTTAGTTCCTCAGTAACTACTCATTTGTTCCTCATTAGTTCCTCGTTCGTTCTTCATTAGTTCCTCATTAGTTCCCCAGTAACTACTCATTCGTTCCTCATTAGTTCCTCATTCGTTCCTCATTAGTTCCTCAGTAACTACTCTAATTTTGTGTACTTTAGTTCCTCAGTAACTACTCATTAGTTCCTCATTAGTTTCTCATTATTTCCTCATTCGTTCCTCATTAGTTTCTCAGTAACTACTCTAATTTTGTGTACCTTATTGTAAAGTGTTACCGAAGGTTGGAGAGTCTGCAGTCCTGTTGCAGTGTCATTGGTCCGACAGTCCATTGGTTCAACATCCCATTAGTCTGACTGTCCGCGGTGCTGAACGGCGCTAAGGGCTTGGGTAAGGATTAGGTAGAGGGAAACGCATATGGATGGGGAAACATACTTCAACACAACACCGGCTCTGGATCAGCTGGGAAAGGCTTGAGGCGGAGCAGGCTAACAGCTTATGTGTTTGTCACTTTCTTTTCATTTTAACCCACACCATGATCTTTTTCTGACCCTAACCAAGTGGTTTTTGTGCCTAAACCTAACCAGACCTTAACCACAGGGCATCATGATTTTGGAACGGACTTCGGAACAATGGGATTAATATGGTCGGAACAATGGGCTGTCGCACCAATGGGCAGTTCCTGTTGCAGTGTCGGCTGCTTGTTATCAGTGATACCAGAAAGTGGGAAAACTGGTTTTAAAGATGAACTGGACCTTCCGTCCCCTGAAGGTCTTCAACTCAGCACCTTATGTAACTCCTTTTTTCCCCTAGTCTCCTACAAATATGGTGGCAGTTGAGTTTCCCTTTATGTCAGTTGTCTTTTGTCTTTATCGCCAGTGATGTGGTGGTTCACTTTTACACTTTTTCATCTGTGGCCCACAGTTAGGATTTAGCCTATAATCTTTTTTTATAATCCTTCACTGCACATTGGATGGTTCATGCCTCCATGTTGATTTTGGTGTGTCATGCTAAAATTTTCAGTGGCTCCATCTGACCACCACTATGAAAATTTCTTTGGAGTACCACTGCCCTGAAGCCTGAACTCAGAAAACATGTCTGAACTCCGAGAACATGTCTGAACATGTTTGACTGCAGGGAATGACTCGATGACATGAGGTCAATTCACAGCCTTTAGTGGGTATTTTATTGTGAACACAGCTGACAACTTCACACACTGCAACAACAATGAGACAGCACAGCAGAACAGTTTGCCAAATATTCTTATACTCTTCCTCAGACAAACATCATACCTAACCTTCCGTGTGTGTGTGATTTCCTGCCATTTTCCAGAACTTGTTTCACCAACATAATGTTTGCCAGGTCACTCTGTTCTTAGACTTCACCCTGTGTTGGTGAAGCTGTCCTGTAGTGGTGCTGTTAACTTGTGATGACAAACGTACAACTGAAGAGTAACAATACATTATTAAATATGTTAGTGAGTTTTGTTACTTTTACCATCCTGTTGAGTTCTGGTTGAATTTGTTTCAGTATTACAGTATTATTAAGTTTTCTCTCTGAAAAAGTTGTTCATTTAATCTCATTGTTATATATGTCCCATGACTTTGTCTATAGAGAACATCTGAACACACATAATAAATTTTGATTAGATTTGGGGTTTTTAATTTAACTTTTGAAGACCTGGTGTTGGCAGTTAAAATGACTGGTCAATAGAAATGAATGGCTGAGACTGCAGTTAGTGTTTAAAATTGAGTTTAGGTACATGCCCATTTAACATATGGACACACTTCCTCTCCCAGACCTCCACATGCATGTGAGTTTATAGTGGACGTAGCTACAGAGACATCACCCATTGGTTTGTGGACTCAGTCGTCGCCATCTTAGTTTTGCTTGTTTTGTTTGTTTATTTGTTTTGAGCCAAAAGTGACCATATTTGAACAAGAGGTTGGAGCTGTGGAGGAGGGAGAGGTGGATCTGACTCCTAGAGTGTAGCGATGCCTCGCAGGCAGCCTGTTACTCCAAGTGGCCACAGGTGAGTTATTTAAATATTTACCTTTGTGCAGCCATCACGACTGTTGAAATAGCCTATAGACCAAAACCGTTGTTTTCACCAGGCTGTAAACATGTGTATTTTTGCTGTAAAGATGTGCATTTTAACAAGGGGGTCTTTGAAGATCGACTAGCTTCTGGAGCCTGCCTCTAGTGGCCATTAGAGGAAATACAATTTTTGGCGTTGGCTTCATTTTTCAGCCCCGGAGGTTACCATTGGCTCTCCTTCTTGGCTTCCAGAGGAACTTTCCCCTGTCCTTCTTACAATGAACTTCAGCAATATTTGATTCAATGTGTATTTTCATGTTTTTTTTTTTAATTTGTATGCATCATTAGAAAAGTAGCAGATTTTACTCTAGCATATAGGCTACTGTAAACTTATTGTAAAACCCCACAGTTACCCTAGGATCAAATACTGTCATCCAATATACTGTGATATACTGTCAAAATCACTCTAAAATAATAGTAAGATACTGACACCTCCGCTGCCAGCACCATACTGTTATTTTACAGTGAGACTCGGTTATATCACAGTAAAATTGCTAACTAAGGTTACAGTTAAGACAGTGCTTACTATCACTAACACCACACCTGAGAGACCAAGAGCTAACAGAAATATCCCCAACCCCACATCTGATCAACCAAACACCATCCTGATCGGGGACTCAAAAACCAAGCATGTAAGAATGGCAAAGACTGAAAATCTAACAGTGTCTGACACGTCTGTCGGGGAGCTAACAGAGCTGTTGCCAGTGATCCTCTCTACACACCCGAGTAACATGAGGATCATCATCCATGCTGGCATTCTACGAAGAAAAACTGACTCTGAGATCCTGAAAAAAGACTTTTCCCTGCTCCTGGAGAAACTGAGTGACTGTCAGTCACAAAATGTGTTTTCATTTCTGGCCCCATTCCAACCCTGGGGAAAGGAATCGAGTCTTTTACCAGACTCCTTGCCCTAAATACATGGCTGACATTGGCGTGCTTCACTCGTGATAAAGTTTATTGACAATTTTAACATCTTTTGGAACTGTAAGGACCATTTCAGCGTGATGGGATTCATCCGAACATCACTGAATGCAGACTTACTTGGGGCCAACCTACGTCATACTCTTGGAATGCCATACCAAAACAAGAATGGGCAGATAAGAGCCAAGGACAAGTACGTGGCACAGAGACAGACAGCCTGCATCTCTCCCCCTTCACCTGACCCTTTGTTCCACATCACCCAAGGCATTCAGAGGATGTCTCTGTCCC